CCCCAAAACCCCAAAACCCCAAAACCCCAAAACCCCTGACCAGTTTGGTGAAGTTGAAATGAAGTTTCAAGTAAATTTTGAAATTTATTCAAACTGGTATTTGCTAAGTTAGCTATCTTCCAGCGCTTCTCTTCTTTTTCAATTTCTTTGCCATTATATTGCTATTTTTGCTATGGAATTATGTAATTAAGCTTACTTGGCCTTCACAAAGTTCTTATTGGAAGAACTTCATTTCCTGGGCTCATTCTTAGACTTTTGAGTTTTGTTGGTGAGGATCGAGTTGTATCGTGTCTCTTGGAAAAATATATCATTTTCCTCATTGAATTCTTTAAATTTGAAGTTTATATTTCGTTTCAAAATGATTCACGAATCGTTATTCGTCACTTCATCGTCAAATTCCTCTCAATTTCCAGTCTACAGATTTTATTTAAAAAAATACATAGTAGGTTTGGAGCGGGATTGCTGATTCGCATCGAGGATAGAGATTCTCCTTCATTGCAAGATTGAGCTGCTTCCTGATTATAATTTCTGACTCAGGGTGAACCTCAAAGTTAAATTCCTCTAAAATATGAGTTAAATTTGCATAGATTAAGTGTTACCTATCCAGTCAGGATCATTTTCCTTTTGTACAGTAATCGAAAGTTCATTGTCTACATTCCTCGAGAGTCGTCCAAGTTTGACAGATTTAGCATAGTTCTTATAATTAGTGTTCCTGTTCGAAGCATTTTTGTCTGTTATGGTTTTATCATTCCCTTTTCTTTCTTCAACAAGAGACTTGAAGTTCAAAGCTTGGCTTATTGGAACTTCCAAAAAGCATCTCTCAAAATTAACTTTGTACAAATCAGGGACAAATGGAGGAGCAACCTCTCTCCGAGCAAGCTTTCCCCAGTGAACTTTCTCAAAGAAAGGATGATTTTTAACTTCACTAAATTCAGATGGTCTGGATTCTGGATCTTTCTCAAGTAGCCATTTTATCAAATCTTTAGCTCCTTTGTCTACTTGCTTTGGAAAATATACTTCCTCATTCAAAAGTTTTTGACTCAGATCATGATGATTTTCGCTATAGAATGGTGGATATCCAAACATAATTTCATATGCGAGACAGCCAAGAGTATAGAAATCTAATGTGCGTGTATGTTTTTGTCCAAAGACCATCTCAGGAGCAAGGTATTCAGGTGATCCTCAAAAAGTCTCGCTCATTTGGTTTCTAGTCTCAAGCTCTTTTGATAAGCCAAAATCAGACAGTTTTATATGCCCTTCTATATCAATCAGTATATTTTCTGGCTTAAGGTCCCTATACATAACATTCTGAGCATGCACAAATTCAAGAGAAATGATAATTTCAGCGATATAAAACCTCACAATATCAAGATTGACCAGATTAGCTCCTGGGAGTCTCTTAAGAAATTCAAAAAGTGTCCCTCCTGGTCAAAGTTCCATGACCAAGAACATCTCTTCTTCAGTTTGGAATGCATAATATGTATCTATGACAAACGGAGTGTCTTGAAACTTTTTATTTATCTCAGATTCTGAGATAAACGTCTCCTTCCCAACCTCCTTGAATAGCTTCTTTTTGATGATTTTGATAGCATATAGCTTCCCAGAGTCTCTTTTTCTAGAAACTACTACATGTGAATAAGAGCCTCTTCCAATGACCTTCAGGTACTGAAAATCATCAGGTCCGATCCTTGCTCTGTTGATAAAGCTTTCTTGGTGATGGCTCAATTGTGCAAAATGTATGACAAAGGTAGTCTTGTGTCTGATAGGGGCTAGAACATTGTCTAGCTTTTGGAGATAACTATCAAGGGTTGGATAAAACATAGCACACTTTATTCCAACTATTTCCTTCTTAACTTTAGTTTTTCCTTTCTTACTCAAATTATCATTATACTTACGACTGACCTCACTCAGGAGCCAACCGACTGTCAGGTCAGGATCATCAATAGATATCTTCTCGACCATTCCCTTTTCAATAATAACCTTGAAATACTTAGCCTTATGCTTGCATTCAGGCCTAATAACCGGATCTTTCTGAAGATCATACTCTGCATTTAAAGAAGAAAGGGATTCAGTTTGCCCCATTACTATTTACAATTTAATATATTAATTCAGCATATGGCAGTTATACTGGGGTTTTGGGGTTTTGGGGTTTTGGGGTTTTGGGG